ACACACTCATGTGGAATTCTCTCTCGCATGCTCACAAACCCCAAGGCTTGTTACATTACCTACTTAGGAAATACATTAAACCTGAGACAATTTTTCCAAAAGCTCAGGACTATTCCATGTGGCTCCATACCAAATACTTTCTAAACTAACTCCACAAGCCACCTGGATAACCTTTAAATAGGAAAGTATGCATTGCAAACAGCATATGTAAGTGCATGTAGGCAATAACAGGAGCAAGTCTACAAATCATGAAATGTGTTCAGGAATTTTAGTTTTGGATCAAATCAAAATTGTGTCTAGCTGGGGCTGGCTTCATTTTTCACACCCACCCACATACAGACACCACCCGTTGGGTTCTTTCTGACCCCAGGTTTGGGAGCAATCCCGTGGCCTCTAGACTGTGTTGGAGGGGCCATAAGATACTTTGGATGTCCAGATTGGAGCTCTGGCCCTCCTGCTCCTCAGAGTCCGCCTGAAACAAGCTGTCCAGGCCTGGAACGAACTGTCCTGACTACTCTCTGGGGTTGTGAAGAGGATCTTAAAGAGGGGGGGAGGGGATGTCTCAGTGGGCAGAGAGGGAAGAGACTGGGAAGGCCGAGATGTGAGTTACCCAAGCCTTCCCCAGCCTCCCCCCACTTCAGTGTGCTCCAGCTGGATGGACAAAACAGTCTGCCTAGGGCAGGGGGAGAGGCAGGTGGAGGTCACCGCTGCTGCACCTCCCTCTCTGCACGGGACACCATAAGCCTCTGCGCCTGGGGACTCACAGGCATCACCGCAGGATCGCAGCCTTCGCGCAGGTTCCTGGCAGCAATCATCACTATAATCCTGAAACTCCACAGATTTCTTTTCCTTCTTTGGTCATCACAGAAACTTTTTTTGAACTTAACCATTTCATAAATGCACAAAGAAAGAGGAAAAAAGTAAATGCTGGTACCAATTCTTGGACAGAGAATTATGAACTGATCCCTCAGCAGTTCCTTCAAAGTACTTTTTCCTCTCATCATTTGTTCTTTCTTGCACTCAATGCATATGAGCAAACTCCCAGCCATTCACACACACTCACACAGAATTCTCTCTTGCATGCACACAAACCCCAAGGCTTTCACAGACCCACACAGACCCCAAAATATTCACATACACCTATCGTGCCCCCTGGAGGCCCACAGAACAGCAAAGAAGGAGAGGAAAGGGAAAAGGATGCACCTCCTGCCACGTCTCCGTTAGCCTGGCTTGGCGCAGAAAACTAGCCAAGGGGCTACCCATCGCATTCAGCTCTGTTGAGCTTGGGCAAGCTGATACTTCCCCACATGCTCCACTTCTTTGCAAAATGAGGTTTCTACACTGATGCTTTGGTCACGCAAGAGCCATCCTGGGGGAAAGGCTTTGTGCGCATGCAATGGGCGAAATAAAGCTGCTGTTGTCAGACCAGGACTTGCTTCCTGGCTTGGAGCTGCAGCAGCTCCTGCAGCTGCAATGTTACATTTTGGGACAGAGGGTGCGGGTGGCAGAGACAAACCTGTGCTTGCTGCCATCACTGTCTAAAGTGATGACCTTTGCGTTTGCACCGGTTTGCATCCATTCCACACCAGGAGGTGCAAAGGTAGCAGCAGTTCTTGAGCCTCTAATAGCAGGTCTGTGGGGAAAGTCAGTCAGGGCCTATGGGTAGATCCCTGAGGGCTTTAAAACAGATCAGCAAGGATTTCTGACTTCCAATAGTTTAACAAGGCAACAACAAACTGACCCTGCTCCTAATTATATGGCTGAAATGAAAAGCTCTAGGAGATGGGTTGACTAGGGATGCATAGAGGCACAAATTCCTGGCTCAGGGTTGTTTTAACTTGTTTCCATTTGGTGGATGGTTCAAAGTACACTGCAGTTGCATCACCACAACCACCCTGTATTCCTGAAGTGTGCCTGGGCCTGTTTTATAGTAATCTACAAATATATTGCACATTACCCTAAGAGCTATTAGCTACAATGAATGAATGAATGTTATCCTTGAAAATCCTATTAAGTAGCAACCCTTTTTACTTGTTAGCATCTTCACACAGTGTTCGTTGGCTGTGAACAATGAAATTGGTAGGATATTTGGCTTTATTTTGGACCTAGGATGAAGATACCACATCAGGTCAGAAACTCCCCACAAATGTGCATTGGCTGCCATGAACTACCTGAGCTAGAGTTTATCATTGGTTACGTTAATTAGTCCCAATTCTAGTAAAGGACAAGTACTCCCACAAGCCTAGTCATTTATTTTCTATTTAGACATTTCCTTTGCTTGTTTTGGCTTACAAAGGGAAAACATGATGAATTCCTTGCTAAGAGCAGACTCCAAGAACTCAGCAGTCAAACATGGTGGGTGTTATTTTGGAACACATTCTGCTAGTGAATGTATCTCTTGTCCCATGCCTTTCTCTTGTTACCTCAAATATATTTCCCAAAGATTATGTATAAAATTTGTGCTTTCCCATTACGTTAGCACTTGGGGATTTGAAGGTGATGATGAGGAAGTCTCAGTCGGTGATTACCTGTGCAACCTGAATGTCACCAAGAGGTAAGAAGGTTGAGGGGTCTTTTGATGAGCTTGTCAGAATGATACTGCCAAACAGAAGGAGGCTGGTTGGCAGAAGGGCCTACATAAGGAATGGCAGAAGGAGCAAGGGCTGAGGAAAAGAAGAGGCAGCAGGCCAAGAGAAGTGGGTACCTAGGAAGAGAGGCTTGGAAGAGAGGGCGTGGTCCTGCGAACCTAAGAACCACCATGCGGGATCAGATGACGGTGCATTTAGTCCAGCATTTTGTGTAGATAAGCAACTGCGGCCACTCGGTCTGCTCACAGGAAACAAGCAGAACATGAGGACAACAGATCTTTCTACCTGTGCTCTCCAGCAACTGGTGTGTACATAGACGTACTCCTTCTTATGCTGGTGTGATCACATGAAGAGAGTGGAGCATGGATATAATCAGCTGATCTTTGAGTACTTGCCCTTTAAATTGGAATTGTCACTGGGTACAGGATAACAATTACTTTGTGGGTTTGTGTTAACATCTAAAGTTCCAGTATTACAGCAGTTGTAGTCCTGACTTCCCGCAAGTCTGAGATTACTATTCAAGGGACCAGGACTGTTCTCCTAACTTATATTTTCTCTAGCTCCCACTTACCATAGGAGGAGCCTATTTCCTATGCCTTTCTTCACCTGGATTCTTAATAGAATTTACTTGTTTGAGAATAATTGGTCTGCCTGGGACTCATTGTTTGTAGAAATGGCTTAATAAAGCAGGCTGAATCCAGAAAGTGAAAGGCCTGGAAAACTTTACTGAGGATATGCAGTTGCCTGTCTGAGCAGCCATAAATATAAAATGCTAGAGCAAATCAGCCCAGGCTGTTAACAGACTGAAACCACTACTGCTGGAGGATATACTGAGCATGATAGTCTCTTTATATACAGGAAATCCGGGCTAAAAGGAAAATTATTTGGCTGTCCTGGTCGCTAGGCAACATTCTGCTGCTCCATGCTTCCATTTTGCATCTAAGACTCTCTTCATCCAGAGCTGTTAATTTATACTGCACCCCAAGTGACCTTTGTCGCTGTATCTACTAACTGCTTCAAAAATCATAGGAAACAATGAACTCTTTACTGGTACCTTTATTAGTGTCATCCCCTGGTATCATTATTCCAACAGGCCATATACAAAAACTTCTAGTGATGGGCTGAACTTCTCAGTCAGGCTTAGAAAACCAAATTATTTCCCTCTAAACTCAAGAAAAATAGCTACATTTATTCCAGTTCTAATCTCAGCCAAGCCAATACTGCTCGGTTGTTTCACTGGGCATGCAATGAGCTCTGATCATTTCCCCAGTTTTCTGGGGAGTATCCAAATCTCCTCCCTCTGACTACTTGCCACCTGTCATCCACTCACTTGCCTACGTAGTTTACAGCTCGGGTGGTGGTGTGATAAAGGAGGTCTCCCCCTGTTCTTGGACTAGCCACACTGTGCTGGGAAAACTACATTTCTCAGCATCTTTGGTGCCCGACTTAAATTCCTGGAAGCCATTTCTGGCTTATATTCCTTTGGTGCCTGTTAACACATTCCAGACATCAGAAGGGGTAAAGATCTCTTCCTTAATGCCACCAGTGCGGGAAGTTGAGTGAGCAGAAAGGAAGGAAGATTTGATTTTTGATTCAGCTCAGATTAAAATCCATTCAGAGATTTTGGGGCTATAATGTTCACCTTGTACTTGAAGGAGATGTTATGAACTGCTTCAATTTGTATTTGGAGGGAGAAAATATAAGTTACGGCAATATCGCTGCACATTTCCTTGTGGAAGACTGGCCTGAAATTGGGGCATGATTTGAAGCTATCTTTTCAGATTGCATAGCTAAACAATATAGGAATATGAGACATTCCAGTACAAAGCTTTACACCCACTTTAGGAATAGGGATTTTTCCTAATTTTGATATCGCACTTTTAGCAGTATTGATCCATTAAACCATTCACCATGAATTAGTGTTGGGATTTTTTGGTCCTATATGGAGTATTTTGTTCTAAAATCCTGTTTGATTATTCCAGTTTTTCTGGAAGAGCTCTCCTATTGGTTGATTATGACATCAGCATTGCTCACAGAACTGACTGAGCATGTTAGTTTTGCACTGATTCATTAACATGACTGAAAAAGGATTCGTGAAAGGAAATTCAGGATATCTGCCACTTGTAAATTCCTGCACGGTAGCATCTTCTTCCCTGGCAAGGACAATTACACAGGAGTGAAGCTGGGGGAAGTGAAGGCTGCAAGCTTATTGTTAGGGTTGGTTTTATAACTGAAATTTCCCCCACCTCCAAAGTGCGTCATATACGATGTGCAAGTCTAGGGGAAAATATGTTGTTTTATTTGTTTTCCCCTTTGAAAGAAGGAACAGCTGCATAGGGAAAGGCGGGGAGGCACTCTGTACGTTGGTTTGCGTGACATGTGGATGGCAAGTCTCAGTGGGTTCTCATGGCACGCAGATGAAGACCGTTTCCTTCAGGATGGCTTGTCTGAGGGCAAGAAACCACCCTCACAACCCATAACTTGCCCTCGGGATAGTTGTACCAACAGTGGCTGTTGTTTTGTCTGAATCCAGGTGACTGACTCTATTGTGGATACTGGAAAGCTGCTAGCAGCTGCTTGGCAAAGTGGCAAGAGCGGATCCTTGGCAGTGACAGACCCTCAAAGTGCTTAAGGAACACATTGGAAGGTTATCACTGGTTGGTCACCTTTAAAACCTATTTTTGTGCTTCGAATGTGCACATTTTTCAATGTTATTTTTAATATTGTTGTTAGTTGTTTTTATGTGCTGTCAAGTCATCTCTGACTAATGGTAACCCTCTGAATTGAAAGCACTCCAAAATGCCCTGTCCATGATGGCTCCATTCAGCACTTCCGAGTATTTTTTATAAAGATATTAGTTTATTATTGAAGTTTATTAGTTTATTATCTATCAGTCTATTATTATTATTTATTATCTATCATTTATTATTGAAGTTTATTAGTTTATTATCTATCAGTCTTGCACAGATGCAGAGCTGCACAGGTCCCAGAAAATTGGAAGCCTCACCTTGACAATGTCCTGCGGGTACCTGCTGTACCAATTCCAAACAGGTTTGTTTGTGGGGGGAGAGGATTACTTTACTTCCCCTGACAGCTGTCAAAAGATGAACTGTCAAGCAAATGTAATGCTGAGAATGATCTTTGCTTGAAGAAGTAGGTAAGCAACGTTTCCCTCCCTTCACAGTGAGATCGCCAATGTCGTCAGTGCCCCCATATATCTTAGTGCTTCCAAATTTTCCACTGATTCCTGAGACTTCAATGCATCCACATTTTTGCTAACATTTGCCTTTGACAGCTGTCAAAAGTGTTTCTTTGAAGACAAGGTTTTACGCAGGGTGGTTTGGATAGCAATGGAGACATATGAAATCTTCATATTGCATTTCCAAGCCAACTTGTCTAGCCCTGCCCAAATCTCTGTTTGTGGTTTCCAGAAAAAAGGAAAGGGGAAAAAAAAGCTTTGGTGACTCACAGGGACTCATAATTACAGTGAAGGCTGGAGTATTGGGAGAAAAGACAAATTAGTCCTGCCATGGAATCCCCTGGGATAGCTGTGGAAAGACTGAGGGGAAAATGCAGGGTAAACCCACAGTGAGCCCAAATGTCCATCAGACACATTGTGGGTTGCTTGGAAAACAACCACCCACCATGGATTATTTTCAAGGTGGGTTAGCATGACATACAAACCCACCCAGTGGCTAGTCAGTGCCCCAACCCTCTTTGTCTTAGTTCTAGAAGTAGCTGAGAAGGGCTTCTGTCAAAGGCAAGGGCTGGTGAAATCTGCCCCTCTCCCTCCCCAAAAGAAAGACACCATGAAAGAAGATAAAGGTTAACCATTACTTCAACTTTGTGTGTCTGAGGTAAATTAGGACTGTTCCCTGTATATGCCTCATTGCTGAGCAGCAAACGTACAATTGCTTCTGATAATGGGCACATTCTGAGATGTTGCTTCCTTTTACTTCAAAACTGGTAGGCCTCATTGCTGCTGTCTGGCTTTTGCCATCTTCCATAAAGAGAAGGAGTAGCTAAGATCCTTAGTCAGGGACAGGGAGAAGCAATCACATACCATTTGTAACATCACTGTTGCTTTCAGTCTCCTCCCCCTCCTCCCCCCATTACTATAGATAACTTCCTTCTCCATCCTCAACAACTCAGGCTTGAAGATAGACAGACATTTCTTGATGTCAGAGCACAGCCTCTCTGATTTTGGCATGTTCTGGGGAGCACGGCCAAGTTGGAACTGTCGGCTTTGATTTCAGCTGCATTTGAGCAGATTTCAGCAAAAAAGAAAAAAGAAAAAAGAGGGGACAGGGAAGAATAATTGGTTTCTGGAGAGAAATGAATGTTTTTTTTAATAGAAGAAAATGCTATTGCAAAAGGCTTCTCCAGAGGGCAAATTCAGCTTGCCAGAAGGGAAAGTGCTCCGTGTTATTTGTATTGTGAGCAGTGAGTAACAAATTATTTAGCAGTAGGAGCTATAAGTAGCCACCCTCTATAGCTTGTTTCTAATGTGTGATGATAACATGGCTGCAGTCAGCACTGACCCCACTACAGTAAACTGTAAGGACCTCTTCTACAGAAATCCCCAGGGTCTTAAAATTCCACGAACTGCATGAGGAGCCCCAAAATGGGCTCAAACACTTACTGTTTGGAAAGATCTGTTTTGCATTTATTGTGAATTTTCTTCCCTTCTATTTCTATTTTATCATTGCCCGCTTTTCTTTATTATTTTAATAGCGTTCTTCCCAGTCATAACAAGCAACCTTTCCGACATCTGGCTTTGATTGGTTTCATTCCACAGATGCTACTTATGGCTGTGAAAGGGGGTGAGGAAGGGGAGAAGAGGGCAAAGACTTTTTCTTTGCTGCGGAGGCTGTTTTCGCCAAAAGGGGAAAAGGAACTGCTAGCCTGCCAGTTGCTGAAGTTGATGCTGGAGCAGCCAACTTGAGCTCATGAGACAAAGTCATTTCCGGCTATTGTGACTGAAAGTGATCATTCAGCGGTGACCTCGTGACCCCGCCCTCGGCCTTTGTTACTTAACAAGTGATTTCGTTAGAAATTTAAATACCGATCAAAGGCCTTTGCTCCAGCCTCTCCTACATGAAAAATTCTCTCCCTGCGTTGCAGCCTCATTGCTGCAGCCACATGAGAAAAGTGGGATATTCGATGGCTGTAGCGTCCGATTGTTCTTCTGTATGTGAGTGGAGAAATGGAGAGGGCATAGCCTCCATGCTGTGAGGGCACAGAATGGGCAAACGGGAGCCTGGAGTATGTGGTGGGAGCCTACAGCTAGAGCACTGGGACTTGTCGCACCGGGGACTTTTGACAGGGAAAAACTACTTCCACTCCATAATCCCTGATCGTTGCATCCTCAAAATAAGTGGAGGGTACCAGCTTGCCCGTCCCTGAACTAAGTTCGAGAATTTGGGAACCTGGAAGGGCAATGATGCACAAGTGAGTAGAGTTCAAGAGAGTTGTGATCTAACTCTTAAAACAAGGTGTGCAATGCATAGCCAGGGCTTTTGGGTGCACACGTGTGTATTAAACCAAAGTACACATTCCCAACATGCCTTGTTTTATAGGGAAAATGTGCAGGGAGGTTTGTGGCAATTCAGCAGCAATTCTGGCACAGGTGTGGTGTGCTCCCCCCTATATTTCACAAGCTATCCCCTAATTATTTTGCTATGGCTTCAACCAACTTCACAGCTTACCCCACCTGCATTTTCCTAAAACATTCCAACATATCAGAAGACTGGATAACGATAGACTACACAGTAGGATTGCCATACATTCTAATCCCCTCCCCCAGCAAAATTCGTATAATGCTGGGTTATTTTGCTGGGTTGGCATAATACACAGTGGCTGGATTCATATGTCACAACAACCAGCCCTATGTGGTTTCCATGTTCTGACTTTTTTTTTTTTTTGGCTTAGGCGTGCTTTCCAGATGATTTCCATGCTTGTAAGGTTTCCATACTCCTTGTTCAGTTGACCTACTGTTGGCACATATCCCATCAACCACCACAGCTGAAATCCAATCTCATCTTGGATGGCTGGAGCAGCTCCTACAGCAGCTGCCACTCTTTCCAGGAGACTCTGTGGCAGTGCTGTAGAAACCACATGTCAATCATTACTATGGCTTTATACATGCCCTGAAAGGTGGGGCACGCTGGTTTCTTACAAAAATTAATGGGCAGAATAGCAAGTGCACATTTTGCCTCCTACCTTGGTTTCTACAATGGCTAGAAACTTACTTTTTAAAACATGAAAATGTGGGGGAAATGGATAATCCGGGGGGTAATTGCCCCCCCTTGCCAGTCATGGATGCCCATATCTTGTAAGATCATGAGCACATAATAAATTTTGAACCTTGATCTTAAGTTTTTACTCAATCTATAATTACCTTCAATCAATCAATGCTGTGTACCATTCACTGAAAATTGTGTGCCAAGATTTCTCAGATTTGGTGACTAGAAAACCTGGAATATGCATTTAAATTACGCAAATCAATTATATTTGCATGTACCTCTGTGGAAGAAAAGGAAGTTCACTCCGTGTTTGGGTACTTCCAAGTAAGTTAGTAAGTTTAATAAAGCACATCAGTGATTGTAGGAGGGAAGGCTGGATCTGACAGGGTGCCCCCTTGAAAGCATAGAAACATAGAAAACAGAGTGAGTCAGAAAGGGTCTCCCGGGCCATCTAGTCTGACCTCCCGCACCAGCAACATGTGTCTTTTCCCCCAGAGAAATGCCCCTTGCTTATATAGCATTTCCTGCTCACACAGAGGGAATTAGAAACCTATCCAGTCACTGCAACACTCACAGATGCACCAATTACCACACACTTACCTGCTTGCTTTGATGCTGATTTGTAACAGGCACAGACTCCAACTTCTATCAAAATGCAATGTGAGAAGTAACAGACTTGGACTACCTCATGGGTTATTCTAGGTGTGTTTCAGTGCATCCTGTCTTCTCAAGAGTATGTACTAGTTGCCTTTTCAGTACATAAACATGATCTATTTTCCCACCAGGCCTAGTTGACCAGAGAAATATGCAAGGCCTGAACATCTCCTACTTCTCCAGTTGCTTCTTTTGCATAATTTTGCTTGCTTTTCCTGGTTATGAGGCACAGCATAGGACCCTGAAGTCATGTCCTCAAGCCCACAGAAATCCTACTGAAAATTCATGTAGGATTCCAGAGATTTCTCTGTATAACTATGGTCAAGTCTATCTGTGTAGTCATCTGCACTACAAATGTGGACTTTTTCCCCTCTAAAGGAAGCTTGAGTTTCTCTAGATGGCAAATTTTGTGTCCAGTATAAGTTTCTTAATTTTTCTACGTTTGTTGGAATGAGTGCACAGCTCCACTCCTGCATATAATGTTGTGCTTTCCTCAAAAGCCTAAGGGCATGTTTTTATACACTCTTACTTGAGTAAACCCATTTGAATTTCATGAGATTTATTTCTGAGCAGATATGTATAGCAACTGCGGTACTCGTATAATCCACTGGGTTTCATCTTTGATGCTTGGAGACCTCTGAGCTTGAAGGGTTATGCTCATCCTCAGTGGACCAGGAATGTGGTGGAGATGATCTCAGTCTCTCTGAGCCTGCCATTCTTCCTGCTCTTCAGGTCTGCTGCAGCATTTTGGATAGGGAAGGAAGGATATTGGACCTCACATCCTGTCAGGCTCAGGTCTTCTTCCCTCCCTGATGCCCAGAAAGACCATTTTAATCCTTCTCATGGGGCGGGGGGGGGGGGTTTCCAAGCATGGAGAAGCAGCCAGTGTGGTTCTTTCCTCAACCGCTACAAGAGTGGAAGAAGGGATCCAAGTGCAGATCCCCATCTCTGAGGTTGGAGCTCTGCTTCCAGCCTTAAGTCTGGGAATCCAAAGAAGCTGGTGGCCCCCAAGGTGCTGCCATGGGCCATAGGGGCGCTCTCTCAGGGTGCAATCCTAAGCATGTTTGGGCCGAAAAAAGCCCTACATTTTCTGCCTATCATATCTAGTATTGTTCTCTAATATTGCTTAAGATCTGTTGTAAGAAATATCTT